GTCATAATTAAAAACACTATGATCTGCATAAATAGTCGTGCATTTTGACTAAATAGTTTTGCAAGTAACATATAAATGGAAATGGAAGACGAATTTAAGATACTAAAAGCATATATCTCCAAAAATTATTTTCTCTACAACAGTTACTCGTATGAAATCTGACTCATTTGCCAAACGGCTCTTTTGAACAGTCTCAAAGAACCGTTTAAAGCAATAATTCAATGATTCGTTTACCTCGTGACGTTATAACATCATCATAAAGTCCCTGTCATTCTAGAATTTAAAATGATCTAAAACGTTCAATCAAGGACATATATACTTACATTATGCTTAAATCGTTTTATTTTCGTACGTAGGCCTATAATATGGGAGATTATTGTAGGCTAATAGCATGTGTCCTACTTCAATTTATTGCATATGCATTTCAAATCACTAAAACAAAGTCGTAGAACCTAAATATGAATTGCATGTCAATTAAACAAAACCAAAATAATGGCAAGAATCGGTTGAAGTGCTTCAGTCCGATTCAGTCTGATTCGTCACAAATCGTTGAGACTAGTGTTGTGAACCAATTCTATTTCAAAGATTCGACTCAAAAGAAAGATTCGTTCGCAAATCGGTAGCAACAGTTGCAAATCCGCCGCGTGCAATCAAACAATGTATCCGTTTTGCGTGTGACCTCATGAGCCAAAACCCATATCAACAACAGTACACGCAAATTTTATTAATATTACTATACATCATGCATTTAGTTAAGTCCTCAAACCCCCAATATACGTGCTTGCAGCTAACTGTTAGCTCATAAAATGGCAGTTGTGTGATGTAGGAAGTTAAGTGAATCATATACCGCCTTACCGAATGATTAACGCCCCACATGAACACGCTGAGCATCGGGTCGCTCGCCCGGAACACTTTGACCTTCTGCTGCACGAAATGTTTCTTTTTGGTCTTGGTTTTGGGGGCGAGCATGACCATCGGGCTGGAGGCGCTGCCGGTGTTACCGAGGGACGCCATCATCACGGTCACTCCCCTGTAACACAGCGGTCTATTTTGCTCTCGGATCCGCCTCCCTCTGTTCCTGCTCCGGTTCCTCTAGCTAACAATCAACGGTCGAAAACAACACAAGCTCTAAGTCGCGGTGGCTCGGTTTTCCGCTGTGTTTGCAGGCCCAGATGGACCCGATTCTTCATGGAAGTGAACAACACTAAGTTGCTGTAGTGTGGCAGTGATCCAGATGCTCCTCCCACAAGTTCAGAGGAACAGCTCTTGATATATTGTGACAGCAAGAATGTGTGTCAGACTCTCACCTGAGTGTAGCCTACGTCACGTGGTTTGTGAACGTACAGGTGAGATGAGACAGTAAAAACATCAATACTAACCTGACCATAACTATAATATTTCGTCTGACAAGTTCCTGCGGTTGACATGACTGACATGTCCGAACGAGCCGTTGTTTTGAGGTGGATCTTTTCAATGATTCGGTTGAACCGGTTCAAAAAATACGGTTCGTTCACGAATCGGACAGAATCGGTCCTAGCGCCAGCATGAGCCGAAGTTACCTTGACTGATGGGGCGAAAAACATATAGTTTTATCAACATTAATAGGCTGCGGAACACGTTGTATTTAGCCTAATTAAAATATGCGAAAAATGTTCAGCCAGAACATTTATTTAGAGATTAGGGGTGCGTTTCCCAAAAGCATCGTTAGCTAACTATAGTGGTAAGTTTAATTGAACTCTATTGGTAACGACGGAACTTTTGGGAAACGCACCCTGTCAGAGACTTGGGAGTGGGCTTTTGACTTTTGGGCCTGTAAAAACTAACGCGTGAAATGAGAGGAATCACGCAGCAACACCCTGGCAACCACCCAAGCCAACCTAGCATTGTCAATGTTTATACAGGTAAGCACAACTCACATTTTCCTAAAAATCTGTAGAAATTACAATATTTAGTCTATTTGCCATTGTCTTAGCAGTGGTGTCTGGGAAGCCGTTTTGAAAATTCATTATTTTTGCAATTGGGTTGATGTCTCTGGAGGCGCAGAAATCATTTGGAACTTTTGTGTTTTTGGAGTGACAGTATATCAAATGCAGTGTTGAGAAGTAACTAGTTACATAACTAAATTATGTAATTTAATTACAAAATAAATGTAATATGTAATAAAATGAAAATAAATAAATAAATATAAATAAATAAAATGTAATAAACTGTAATCACTTACATGTAGTCATTTACAGTTATAGTAAATGTGAAATATAAATAAGTAATATGTAATAAACTGTAATCAGTTACATTTAGCCATTTACAGCTACAGTAAATTACAGTTACAATTACTGAGAAAAAAATGTGTAATTAAATTACAGTTAGCCTACTTATGAAAATGTTAAAGTGCCCCATTATGGATTTTTGAAAATTACCTTTCATGCAGTGTGTAACACAGCTCTAAGAGAATGAAAACATCCTGCAAAGTTTTAAATCTGAAAGTGCACCGTGTATAAAGTTATTGTCTCTCAAAAGAAAGAGTCGACTCTGAATCATTGAAACGAGTCGTTTTTAAAACGAATCCCAAGCCGTTTCATGTTGACGTCAAAATTAAACATTAGCCCACTTGTTAGTCTTTTCGCGTTGATTTGAATGAAAATGCAAATTCATTCTTTGCCACTAGGTGCCGCTTGTAAAAAATAGCGGTTTCCCCGGTAACTCTGTACACAAAGCAGCACTGCGCTCACAAACACTGCTTTATCAGGCATTACAGGCGAAATGAAATGAAAATGAGACCAATCGGACCAATCACTGCAGATTAGCGTCACGCAAAGGAGGGGTTTGGAAAAATGAATCATTGAGCGAATCGTTTGGGAGTCGTTGAGCAAGTAAGGTAAAATAAATGCATATTATAAGACAATGAAAGTGTTTTTTGACCTTGCATGCATGTCACCCTTTTGTTGGGGACTACCAAAACCAAAATATGAACTTTTCATAGCTCATAATAGGGGCACTTTAACAATTACAAATTGGGTTACATCTGATTTTTTTCCCCATAAACACCCACATACATATTTAATTGATGTCTTTCATAAATTGCAGTGACTGCTCTAAAATGTGTGACACCAATGTTTCAGGAGTTTAGGACACAGAATAGGACACATGCTTATTCTATAACGGTTTCCTATTTGGATTTATGCATATGCTTTATTTTTTAAAGATTAATTGTTTTTTTCCCCCAAGCCATTGTTAGATGCCAGTGTTTCCTGTCATAGCTATGCAAAGATTTGATTTCAAAAACAATATCATAGCTACTAAACTTTTTCTTGTTATGGTTTTAAATCTGTATTTAACCTCAGAATGATCTCAAAGTAAGTCTGATTTTGTGGTGGCCGTGCTGTAAAATTAAATGAATATAATCTTAATTAAAGTGATGAGGGATTTCGAAAGTGACAGTAATCAGTGTTGAACTACTGTAAGGTTAACCCTGCCTGGTTTACATGTTTGGAAATTATCAACAGTTGAAAACATTACAAATTTAGAAAAGTAAACAAATGTAATCAGTTACGTTACTTTAATAAAGTAATTGAAATAGTTACACTACTACTGTATTTACATTTTAGATACAGTAATTTGTAATCTGTAACCTATTACATTTCCAAAGTAACCTTCCCAACACTGATCAAATATCATATCAAATGTAGGTAAAATACCTTTTATAGATTTAGTTATATCTTCCTCTGTAGATTCTATATTTTGGCTCTCTTGATTCGACACAGCTAATAATATATGCATTCAAAAATGTAGCTTACGTTACAGAGCGAATAAATTCTCCAAGTCACAGTGATTCAAAGTAGGGCATGACGAAAGCACAGACAGACATATGCTATATTCTGCTATATGTTGTTACCTTGGAAACAAGCATATGGATTGTTGTGTGAGTATACGTGTGCATGAGTCTGTCTTGGCACAAAAGCTCCAGCACTCTAAATATTTAATATGTCCTTTATATTCATGAGAATTAGACTGTATAAATAGCATTATATGTAACTACTTGGCTGATATAACAAGATATTATACCCTGATAAAGCATAAAGTTATTCTTAGTAAGCAAAATCTGCTCTGGGCTTGCAAAAATGCACAGTCACCATAGCTCAGTATGCACAAGGTAATATTTGTATGTGACATTTGTATGAGCATATGGCTGTATTTTTGCAGCCAACAGCAGCATCTGCTCTTTCTTGTTGCCTTTTGCTAATTCATTGCTTCTGTTTTTTTTTTTTCTATTTCAGTTGTGCATTTGCATGGTTTGATAGTATTCATAATTTATCATATTCAATTTCATGCATGTGGGTTTCCAAATGAGATCCTGCAAAGAGTCAGTCTTTATATTAACATATGCATTTATTTTTCTCTGTATCTGTTTATTTATTTATTTTGTATCATAGTTCTTGCACACGTTATATATATATATATATATGTTTTTTTTTTTTTGCAATGGGCTCCTTTTCAAGGGCCCACAACTACTGGCACATATATTGATACAACAAAATCAGTGTGAGGTACATTGATCAGACATTATTTTGTGCACTTTTTCTCAATGCATTTTGGGAATGAGAAAACACAGAGTTCTGAACAAAATACCCAGAATACAATCTGAAATATTGAAAATTAAGCCATATAGTAACACTTTCCAATACTGAAGGATCAACATAAATAATGACATAAAATAATACAAATTATATCAAAAACACATGTACAGCAGTAAATGCTCTTAAGGGTGTGTTTAAGTTGTATTTTTGTTTTTAATCCCTTTTTATGGTGACACCATCGCATGGCGCTCACTCTCTTAGCAAATAAAATAAGCTCTGTTTTGACAATGAAAAAACTGCTGAGAATATAAAAATACATGGCATTGTAGTTCATTAAATAAATCAACAATTTATATATATTTTATATATATATATATATATATATATATATAAAATAGCATATTGAAATATATAAAAATATGCCTAACAACTTCTCGAAAAAGGTAACAGCCATCAGCTGAATATTCCACCTCATGACACAACCAACCACGATAACCTCACTTATGTACAAATAATCCACGACGTGTGTTTGCGGTCAGTGTCGTATGAACGAAAAAGGAGTATTTCCCAAATGTGCACATTATGGTAGCGTTTAGATGTCGTTTACATGACAATGTGTACGATTCAAAAGTATGCAAGTCTTCGAGGAAAAGATTCAAGGAAATTTAGACGCAAAGGTATATTCTGTTTTCATATCTATAGTTTTGTCAGTGTATCATTGGAGAAGGGGAGAGGGGACGTCACCCCATCTGCTTAATAGTTAAACAGCCTATGAGAAACAAACATAGGAGTTGTGGCCAGGAATTAAATATCTCTCTGTAACAGCTGACCTATCCCAACTTAAGCTCATGTGGTGTAGTGGTCATTATTTCTGTGTTCTGATGGTGTTTATTCGAGTTTATGGCAGTGAACGTGGTCTGGACGTTCTGAGTGAGGGCCCGTTTCCATGTGAAGTGGTTTATCCCTGGAGTGTCCTGGTCAGGCAGTGTCTTGCACCGAGCTGAAGTCATCCCCTCTCCCTGTACCCCTCCTCTTCCTCCAGGCTCAGAGCTGTGGGGCCGACGCTCCCCTCACTCTCCATCACATGGTAAAATGCCATCCTCCCCGGCACGTGATGGCACGGTGTTGCCCATCTCATTGACGCACCAGCAGTGGCCGCGCTGCATGCCCTTAGAAGACCGACACTACAAGACAACAGGAGATTGTTCTGGCTTTGGTACATCGAAGGTTGTCATTCGCAATACAAAATGGCTCATAATGGTGACCTTCAGATTTCAAAACTTCCTCCTTAGTTCATTTATTGAAACGAACTTCCACAAGGAAGTTGGGTAGATACTACTAAACCGGAAGAACTAACAAAAGAGTAAACAACAGTGATAAAATAATCCTTCTCATTATTATATAATTGACTTTTTTAAAATGTTAATGTTACCAAAGCCCTTTTACCATATCAATAAAGCCACTTGAATCTTTTCCCTATTTCCATTGGATATTGATTTAGTTAACCAGTACCTGCTTTTTCCTGTAGAACCCACGAGTGTCACAGTTTGGGATGTAGATGTCACGATCGGACTGGAAAATGGTGAGTTCGAGACCTCGCAGGACAGTGTTGAGCAGCTTGCGACATGGAGCCTGGTGAGGAAATGTTGAGAACAAAATGTTGGAATGCCACACGTCATGCTTAAGAATTTGTATTATGTATATTTGCTTAAGAGGCATTTTGATCATTCCATTCTCTTCTGGCACTGATTGTTTTGTACCTAGAGGTACACAAATGAGTTTGGTGTAACAATATAAAATAATAAGTATATTCAATTATATAATTATTAAAAAATCACATAAAATCATAAGGTTTTCAGGATCTTAAAACTAGAGTTCCACTTTAATTATACAGCCACAATCTGACCTGTCTTTAACATTTAATATTAATTTAACAATTGATATAAAACAGTTAACAATGAAGCCTAATTAACCCTTTTTCCAGTAGAGTTTTTTTTAAATCTTGGTCTAATGCTTAGATTGTAAGCATTAATTATAGAAGCCAAAAACCAAAGATAGACTCACCTTGTCTATTTCACCACTATTTGAAGGATGTGGCCCTGTGAGAAAAGGGACATTAATACTGAATTATGACTCTGCATTTTTGAGAAAAAGACATTGAAACCTGTGATTCAACTAAATGAATATGTTTGGCTGTGATTTAAGAGTATATGTTGTGTGATTTGGGATATTTGATCTGGACAAACCCACATTTTTAAAGAATAGTTCCTGAAACCATTCTTATAAATTGACAATATAGGCTACATCTCTTAAGTTGTAATGACTGAAAGTAAACAGTAGATGGAGACTGCATGACTACATTTCACCTGCTACATGAAATGACACTGTAGGAATGTGGGTGACACTGATATACACTCAAGAACACATACACTACTCTTGCTCTTTATCTCCTCTGTTTCTCCTCTTTATTCTGCTCTGAATAGTTCTGATGTCCATATGCATGGCACAGTTGCATATACTGTCACACAACTACACACACACATCTATACTCCTATACAACCCTTGCACATTCATCCAAATGGCCATTATTACAAGTGATCTTCATCATGCGTATTTACGACGTGCGAAAGCCTCAAATCACAGAAATGCCTTTACACCCTGCAGGAATTTACAGCCATCACATGCAAACCAGCAGCTATTCCCGGCACTTTATGCACATGTCCTTGGTTCAGTTACAGTTTTGTCATCCTACCAAGCCTCTGATATGGACACTGCAGCGCAGTGGCTTGCCAGCACATCCGTGGAACCTGAAATGCATCCTTGAGCTATTTCGCTGTGGTACTTAAAGCAGATAAGCCATCGCATTTTCTCACCGCATGCGGCACGGCGAGACGCCGGCGAAGCTACGGCATGGAGGAAGGGACCGCAAAGGCATCCGCTGGCTGAAACTCTTACCTGTGGGGCGGGGCCTCTCGGTGGGACTGGTTCCGCTCTGTTTGGCGCAGGAGCCTCTGCCTTGCAGCAGAGCCTGAAGGGGGCTGTGTTCACGTGGAGGGGGTACGCAGCGAAGCCCCTTGGCGCAGCTCAGGGTGTAAACCCCACAGGGCTGCCCCGACGCCAACACGGTGGTGCTGGGCGCCCCAGCCGGGTCCCTGGAGGCCCGGCCCATGCCCGAGGGGTGCCCGTCTTTACAGGTCAGGCAATTTTTGTGGGGGCCCAAGCGACCCGCCAAAGACCAGGATCCACTGTAGATGATCAGCAACAGGACAACGGGCGTTAAGTTGGAAAGGAAAGACATCTTGCGTCCGGGTCTCAGGTTCTCCATGCACGGTTCTGTCGTACGTGGCTGATGCTATTTCTGGAAGTCTGTTTCTCTTTCCCCTCTCTGGTTCTTTGCTCGGTTTTCAGCTTGGTGAGGCTGCGAGCTGGGAGTCCCCTGCAGTGCCAGAGGATACAAACCGAGAACGAGTGAGAAACGGCAAGCAGCGGCTTTTAAAGATCTGAAAGGCGGTGATAGAGAGCGAGAGGGAGAGAGCACAGTTATGACACCTTCAGGGGCTGGGACTGAGAGAGAGAGAGAGGGAGAGAGAATGTGTAAGGGGGGGTGGAAAGAAAGAGAGAGAGATTATTTTTCCTTTTAGAAATCATCAAGCACTGCTCCAGCTTTCCCTCACCCATTATTGTATCTGGAAACATTCCTTTGCCCAGGATACTTACTCTGGCTATGATGGTTACTTTTTCTGCATCATCTGTGAAAATGTTAGAGCATTCTAGTAATCTTTGCCATGGTAACAATGAAGGCGAGGGATTCCATTTCTCTGCCGACTACGGTAATTTGCTTGTGGGAGAGTCGCACAATTAACCCTGTTGCTTCTAATAATTCTAAAAAGATCAGCCACTTCATAGAAGTCAAGCTTTTTTATGTAGCATTGTAGTATTAGTTACTTTTTGAACCTTTTCATAATCTTTCAGATGCAGAAAAACTACTTATTAAAGTTGCGATGAAACTGAAGCGGTGACTGATCTTTTCTTCCGTATTGTGACATACTTCTGAACATCGAAAAAGACAAAATGTGGAGCAGGGATTTGGTTTGAGGTTCAGTTGATTGGATGTTGACATGTGGGCATTGCACTCCAAAAATGGATGTAGACGAACGTGAGCTTGGGGTTGGCATTCGTCATGGAAGTTACGAATTGCCAAGCCAAAAAGTTTTTAAAAAATGACACGTATATGGACTAAGCATTCACAATAATATCAACAACGTGTTAAGTTGTGACGCAAGAAATTTCTGAATCCAAGCCTCTACTTGTTTTAATTGAGAACACTCAATATTTATTCACACATTTAAACAAAGCTTTTAAAAACTAAAGGTATAAATTACAGTCTCCAGGCTCAGTGTCCTGGACACCAATATTCAATGATTCATAAAAGATGAGTCACTGTCTGACCATCCGACATTTCTGTATGGAGATAAAGGTTAGGATCATGATTTTTCAGTAGTATGTTGCTTGCTTTTGGGATATGATAATGTTTGGACCCGTTGACACGTGAAGTCAGACTTAACAAGTGGCTGAACAAGCACCTGAATTGAGAACGTTGCTTTATGATGGAGTGATTCAACACGTGAAGTCAGACTTAACAAGTGGACTGAACAAGCACCTGAATTGAGAACGTTGCTTTATGATGGAGTGATTCAACCAAGGGTGATTCTGCCACTTAATAGTTTATTTTGGAGAAGGGACCGTGTGGATACTTGGGGCAGTGTTTTCACTGGAATGTACACAAGACGATATATGCCAGCAGCTAATAATGCAATCCATCAGCCTAGTCATCCTTATCTGATCTCTTTGGAGGACTTCATAAAGTTCAGAGTTGTCCTTTGGCACAGATACCATTAATCGAGTCGTCTTTTAGTGCCGAGAAGTCTCGGAGTGCTTTTGTTGAAGACGATGAAAATTCCATACAGTGGCCAAGGGGTTTATACCTAGATTTAAACCAACTATTTTTACCATCAGGATGCACCCAGCAGATGTGTCTGATGGGGTCTCTTACATGCAAAAGCCTGCTTTCAGATCACACCCAGTTGAAGGGGTCCCATAAGGACAGAGTGGTGTTTATTTGTTGTTGTCATGAAGCGGGATGAAAGTTAAGATGTCAAAGATGGGCTGGTATGAGTGCAGAAGGCAAACAGGATTTAGATGATTATCTTACGATATTGACATGTGTGGTCATAGTTCTCTTTAACACAAACATGTTTGCTTTCTGAGTCTCGGTTTGTGCCGCAGAAAAGATCTGTTTATCGGTTATGAATACCATTGAACAATCCCAATTTGATAGGCCAGGCCTAGTTATTTAACTTCTGGAAACCACAAAATGTTGGAGTGTTCCTTGTTTGGGCAAAAGTCGGCTAATAATTTATTTTGGAGAAGGGACCGTGTGGATACTTGGGGCAGTGTTTTCACTGGAATGTACACAAGACGATATATGCCAGCAGCTAATAATGCAATCCATCAGCCTAGTCATCCAGATAAATCTGATCTCTTTGGAGGACTTCATAAAGTTCAGAGTTGTCCTTTGGCACAGATACCATTAATCGAGTCGTCTTTTAGTGCCGAGAAGTCTCGGAGTGCTTTTGTTGAAGACGATGAAAATTCCATACAGTGGCCAAGGGGTTTATACCTAGATTTAAACCAACTATTTTTACCATCAGGATGCACCCAGCAGATGTGTCTGATGGGGTCTCTTACATGCAAAAGCCTGCTTTCAGATCACACCCAGTTGAAGGGGTCCCATAAGGACAGAGTGGTGTTTATTTGTTGTTGTCATGAAGCGGGATGAAAGTTAAGATGTCAAAGATGGGCTGGTATGAGTGCAGAAGGCAAACAGGATTTAGATGATTATCTTACGATATTGACATGTGTGGTCATAGTTCTCTTTAACACAAACATGTTTGCTTTCTGAGTCTCGGCTTGTGCCGCAGAAAAGATCTGTTTATCGGTTATGAATACCATTGAACAATCCCAATTTGATAGGCCAGGCCTAGTTATTTAACTTCTGGAAACCACAAAATGTTGGAGTGTTCCTTGTTTGGGCAAAAGTCGGCTGGCTGATGTTCTCTTATTAGAGTTGATTAGTCTTGGCAAAGAACGCAAAAATCACCTGCCGTCTGACATTCCCATCCGTGCCACAGCACGACCCCGTTCTCTGTTTCCACATGTTCTGGCAGGAGAATGTTCCAAGAAGCATGCCAAACCGATGGGGTCTCTCTGTTTCCAGATTCACCAGATTACACGGTTTTCCTCCTCGTCTCTGTCTACAAGTCAGAGTTCGATGGTTCCGGCTCTTATGTTTCTTTTAAAACTTTTCTGCTTCCATTTGTCAGCAGTTTCTCAGTGTAACTTACACCAAAAATAAGATGCATGCATCATCCTGTCTTTCAGATGTTACGGCCCATACGCTTACAGTACATTTAACTCCTGCAGTCGTTATGAGTCACAGACACAAGGGGCCTTTAGATTGTACCAAATGTTCTGTAACCCACTTTTCAGTTGTGTGAGGTAATAGAGTGCCAGACCGTTTTAATAGACTGAAAATACGTCCTCATAGAATGAAAAATGGAAATAGTTGTGTCAACACTTGTGTTAATAATGTGTTAATAATAAAGTATTTGTGTCACTTCATTAAATGACTTCATTAAATGGAGTACTTGATTCTGATTGGTCTTTCTTGGTATTCACTGGCCAGATACTAAAGAATAATAACCGTTGACCAGGAAAATGATGTAGCCTATATCTGACCACTCATACAGGATGAATGTCTCTCTTTAATCTTTACAAGTAAAAAAATAAATGAATTCAAATCAATATTTTATAAATTTTTTAAAAATGTATTTATTTTATTAATTAGCTGTGAGATCATGTACAGTGTGTTTTTAATTTAACAAATGTGATTGTGGCAGTATTCACGCGATAATATACAGTCAGCTGGCCATTATTGCAAAATAAACCCTATTTACCCTGTTGGGTTTATTTTTTGCGATGATGACCAGCTGACTGCATATTGTCACTTAAATATAGCCACAATCGTTTTTAAATAAAAAACGCATGATTATACGATAATAACATATTATATTTTTTATGTTAAATAGGACCCAACTGTGTGCGTGTGTGTGTGTGTGACACACACACACACACACACACACACATAACGTCTTGAAAAAATATTTATATACTTTATGCTTATAAAATTATATGTAGTATGTAAAATTGGTCAAAAGCTAATTTCTCCTGCGCAGTTCTTGAAGCCTAACTCAAAAACCCCTGCGTGCGGCTGTGAAGTTTCTCATTGGTCAAACGCCTGTCAATCAACTCTGTGACGCCTTTCATTGGTGCGCTGCATTCATTCCTCGACTGACGCCATCCAGGAAGAGCCGCTTTCACTTCTGCGAAGTTTGTCAGGTAACTTAGCTAATGGAATCCATAGCTAGAAGTAAACATAAGTGGCCTTAGAATGTTATAACGTCTTACCCACTGATGTACATAAGGTACGTACGTAACGACATAATATTTATATACGTTACATTGTAATGACTAGACATTTAGTGGTTCTGTAGTTTTTGTATTTATTTCGAGTAGGCCTCAAAGCTAATAATTTGTTAGCTATGCAAGGTGATTAGCAGTGATTGAAACTAACTTGCTAGTATGAGCTATTGCATCTGTTACTTAATTATTTCCCTTCTGTCAAATGTGACACAAGCTTTTCTTTAAACATACAATCATTATATAAATAGTAACGATACGCTGTTATAACAGAATTTAGATAATAGTTTATTGTTGACACTATATATAGCATTGATGTAGTCAGTATTTACATAGCCAGATGCTTTTGTCTGGACTACTGTCTGTCCAATTTTTTTTATGAGAAACAAATCATATCTGTATCTGTTGCTAAATGCTGTAGTAGGTGCCACCATGTGATTGACATGATAATTATGACAATCTAGAATGATCATATCCTGGGTGTATGTATGACAGCTGACACGTTACATCTGTTGAGGCCTTTTAGACTCTTAGATAACTCCTTATAGTAGTAGTATAATTTATTGCATGTGTGTATAGCCCAAATATGACAATAAGGCTCTGTGATAAAGATAAATGTTTTGTAAACGACTGATACTGGGGAACTTACAGTTGACTCTAGATAATAAGGTATTTAGTGCTGAGTGATGTTCATCTTAGGTGTAGGTGGGGAGACAAATATGCATCCCATTTCTGAACCATTGCACACTTTAGAGCAGGGGATCTGAAACTTTTTTATTATGTCAGCCGAGAACCCAAGACGTTAAATATTTGCTTCGTATCCACTGAGATTTTAATTAATATTTTTTATAATTTAACGACACATTCACATGTACATGGTTTCTTTTATGACAGTCGGTGCTTGCAAGTAAACTTAATCTTCCCTTTAAGCTTGATAATAATTTAATAAGTACTATTATTATTAGTTGTAACTGAAATATATTACAATTATTCTGTAAAATAAAACGTGAATTTACAGGTACATTAGTAATTATAATGTTATCTTATTTTACACTAAAAGTTATAATACTAATATTTATGTTTTACTTTTCAAACATTCAGAACATTATGCTTGTAACATTTAAAATCCTCAAGCTTTTATTTTGGAAAAATACTGGTGAACGGTTTTAAACTTCTATCCACAAAAATGCTGCAAGTTATGCGAATATGTGAATAAATTGAATCTAGCACACTTTGTATTACAAAATGCATGTTAAGCACACAGCATATACAGAGATTTGTGAGAATCAGAATTGAATATGAACCGATTTGATAACGCAAATTGTCAAGATATGTATGTTGCAATTTCAGTTACATTTCAATTAATTGTGCATCTGTTTTCCACTCCACAGACCTATGAGATGGATGATATCAATTTACACTACAGATTCTTGAACTGGCGGCGCAGGATCAGAGAAATCAGGGAAGTCCGTGCTGTTCGTTATCAAGAGCGATACAAACGAATGTTGAAGAATGGAGACACGCTAAGGTAGGTTTGCCCAGCGAGTGACCCACGCTCTGTTCTTTTTCCAATGTGTTTGGAAATCAGCTCCTGGCCTGTGTTGACCCCCCTAGTTTTTATGGAAAATTTCTGCACTGCTTTTCATTTATCCTTATTTATTTGTATATTTTGAATTGCACAACCATCCACCCCCATCGATATCAGTGAGCTGGGCTTGCGAGCGTAAAGCATTATGTGTGCGTGTATTTGAGCCACTAAAGACGTAATCAGCCTCGACTCACTTGACCTCACTGATTGAAACAATTATAATTTCAGAGAACATCAGTGGCTACTTGTTTTTATTTGATCAGAATAAGGATGAAAAGCAAACTCCATCCATTAGAAAAATAAACAGGCCTTGCACATGTGATGTTGTAATTCATCTTTTTTTAAAGGCGAAGTCTCCAGCATTTTCAGAATGAATTTGTATCGGTTTGTTTGTTCAGTTTGAGAATTCAAAGAGTGTAAAAAATGTGTGCTGACTTCAAAGGAATAGTTCACTCAAAAATATTGTAAATATGTATATTGAGATTTAAAAAAAAAAATGCTTTGGAAGATTCTTATACTAACCAAGGCTGCATTAATGTGATCAAAAATACAGTAAAACAGCAATATTGTGAAATATTATTGCAGTTTCAAAGAAATGTTTTTGTTTGAATATATTTCAAGATGTAATTTATTTCTGTGATGCAAAGCTGAATTTTTAGCATCATTACTCCGGTCTTTAGTGTCACATGATTCTTCAGAATTTTTTCTAATATGCTGATTTGCTGCTCAAGAAACAATTATTGTTATTATTATTTAATTCATTTTGGAACAATATTTTTGGCTGAACTGTTCCTTTACATAGCATTTTGCTCTACATTTTATGATGTCTTTAGTTCAAGTAGTGTTATTGAAGATCAGTAGCATTGACAGCTATGATTTAACTTGATCTTTCTGAGTTACTTCTGGCTTGAATCCTTAGAAAATAAACTGCTGTTCGGTCTCCAAAAGTAGCTCTCACCCATATCATTGTGAAACATGTAGAAACACAACTGAACGTGATTTCAACAGCACACATCACTGGACATTTTAATAATGTACCTATAGCAACAGTGCTCTGGTTATTGGAGATTAAGCTTTTTATTACTTCCCTGCTGTAGTTACCAAGGGAACTCTGATGAAGTTGGCTGCTACGTGGCTCCACGCCCCTTATCAAAGGGAAACTGTTACTTCGAGGTAAGCAGCACACCTATGTTGTCAGGTTGCTAATAACATTAGAATCATGTAAACACCCTTTCTATTGCCTTTGTTAGGAAATCCAGTCACCTAAGTACTAATAACTTTGTAACTGTATGCACACAGATATCAAGTCAAGTGATTTCAACTATTTGAACCTAGTGTAATTTCGTGGATTTCCTATATTGTATGACTCAGTCACACTATTTTTAATGTTTTTAATTTTCCAAATGTTTGACTTTCATCTTGCCTTTGACTATCATTCATTTCACAGCAGTTTGAACTAATCAGCATACCATGTCAGGGCTTGACATTAAGCATTCTCATGTGGTTGTATAAAAGTTACTTGCCCGTAGAGAAAAAAATACATTTAAATTGAGTTATACAAAACATAGTATAGTGTTTATATAGAGTATATGTCGTAGATTTTGTGAGCATGTCACATTTAGTTTTAGTTAGATTTTTCTTTTTAAATAAAATATTAAACAAAATCATAAAGTGAAATCAGTATCAACAAAATTCATCTTTGCAATGCAGAGGAAACACAGAAGCTGCATCTGAAGTGGATTAGATATATTTACCCACTGTTTAATGCAGCTCTGATGGACATGGAATGCTTTAACCTGTGGTTACAAATGAATAAATAATGTTTTGATGCACAAAACGTTGAATACTGATATTTGAAATTATAAAAAAAAAAATAAAAAAATTTAAATGTGAAATAAAAACCGCCAGTAGGTGGCATCAAGTCGCTGTTAATAAGCGAGTCATTGCGATTGAACCGAATCATTTAAACTATTGATTCATTCAGGAACGAAACACCGTCATGTTGCTCAGAGACGCAAAACAGAGCTGTGGCTGTGTTTGGAATTATTTCTGTTGGCGAAATAGAACAAAAACAGGCAATATTGTGTCTAAAACGAAAGTCTCTTAAAGGGTTAGTTCACCCCAAAATGAAAATTCTGTCATTAATTACTCACCCTCATGTCGTTCCAAACCCGTAAGACCTTCGTTCATCTTCGGAACACAAATTCAGATATTTTTGATGAAATGTGAGAACTCTCAGACCCTGCATAGACAGCAACGCAACTGTAATGTTCCCAGGTCCAGAAACGTAGTAAGGACATCGGTAAAACAGTCCATGTGACATCAGTGGCTCAACGTCAGTTTTGCGAAGCTACGTGAATACTTTTTGAGCGCAAAGAAAACAAAAATAACAATTTATTTAACAATTCTTCTCCCCCGAGTTACGTATTCCGCCATTTT